CAAAAAGAGGACTTCATTTCAACATAATCATTCAAGTTTTGTTTGGTTACACGCAAAATTGAGTTTGATTTCAACCAAAAACAGTACCAAAATATACATAATTAAAATTTTGTTTTTCAAAATGAACAAGACAACATCAAAATGCCCTACTTCCATGGCACATAAGTCTTCCTACTTGAAGTTGTTTGGCTTTGACTATTCGCAGTAGCAGCAGCTGCAGACCTAGTTTGGATAACCTTTTCAGCCCTCATTCTTTCTAGGTTGCTACTGGTAATAGTTGTCTTCCCCTTCCATTTGAATCCACGTACTGGTGTGTAGCCAATATCACCAGTAACAACATCAGCCCTCTTTGTCACTCTTGTACCAGTATTGATGACTCTTCTACTTGGTAATCCAGGCTGCTTAGTCAGATAAATACACATTTAATTATAAGACATTTAGGCTTGCATTGACAATTGTAAACTTACATTGAGAGTTGTAAATTCATCTTCAGCTTGGTATATGCCAACACCTACCATTTTTGGCCTTTTAAAAGGTCTTGTTTGTCGTCCACTGGTGTCCTCATGTTCCACTGGTCTCTTCTCTCTTTATAGGCCTCTTCCACTGCAGGTTGCTTCAGAACTAGTTTGACTATGTTGAGTCATTCCTCTTCCTCTACCTAATCCTTCATTCACATTTCTTTCTTGAGGTATTCCTCTTCCTCTACCTCTACCTCTCCCTATACCATTTACAGTCTGTACTTTGAAACCAAAATATTAAAGCATATTTATGTTGTCTAAAACTGATATAATAATTAGATATATTACCTTTGTGTTTGAAGCAGTTACATGTGATTTGAGTTGGAACACCTATAAAACTTGAAACTCTTCCTGTGACTCTTCCTCTACCACTTTCATTATTTGTGGTGGCATGTGAAGAGGCTCTAGGTGGTTGAGTTGAACTACTAACCCTTGCTCTGCCTCATACTACTCTTCATGTGCCTCTTCCTTTACCACTTTTAATAGCATGTATATTAATATATCAATACATGTACATATAACTTACATTTGAAAGTAACAAATAAAAGTACTTGTGCCTCAGAAGATGGTTCAGTTGAATGACTTGGACCAGCTTGATTTCTTGTAGGACATCCTCTTTTATTGTGTCCTTGTGTACCACATTTTCTACAAGTCATAACAACACCTCTTTTGCTAAGCTTTCCAGTTTTTCTACTTTTATCTGCCTCCTTGCTTCTAACCTTACCTAGTCTTCCAGGCAACTTCTTGTTTCTTCTAACCTTACCTGGTCTTCCAGGCAACTTCTTGATCTTTGGTGGCTTTACAATTGGATTATTTGATGTTGGCCACATTTTCATGTTATTCATTGGCTGAATAAAATGGGCATATGTGCTGAGGTACGTTTCTTTGCTATAACAACTAGCCACATAATGGATTGGTTCCAACTCCTTGTAATGAAGGGCAGCAACACCATGAGGACAAGGAATGCCCCTGAGCTGCCAGGATCTGCAACTACAACTCCTACTAACAATGTCCACAATATATGTAAATCCATGATGTTTAATCTCAAAACCTCTTTCTCCATTCCAAGTCAAGTTACATTGCATAGAATTTTCAATATTTTCTTGCAAAATCTTCAGAGACATAGGAGATATATCAGTGATCCAAGTGTTTGAGAACTCTCTCAAATCACCAATTCTTTTCATCATCTTCACCCTTATCTCCTCAAGCATTGTGATTATTGTTTTATACCTTGAAGGCAGTATCCAAGCATTAAAGTTTTCTGCCATATTGTTGTCCACAACATCACATTTGCTATAGTCTTGAAAATACTTCTTGCACCATGTATTCAAGTTGTACCATAAAAGATCATCCAAACATTCTTGTCCTAATTTCTTCATTGCATGTATATTATCCTTCATCTTAGCTTCAAATGTGGATTTAGCAATCCTCCAAAACACTTTTCTTCTTTCAACTCCTTTCCAGTTTTTACACCAATTTGCAAGAACACGTTTTGCACATTTTCTGTGTTCAACTAGTGGCAATACATTTTCAACAACAATTTCTAGTCCCTAACAAACCAACATAACAGAAAAAGAATAATTAAAATGCAAAACTCAACAACAATAAAACAGTAAGATTAGTAAGGTAATTACCTTTTGCATATCAGTAATGATGGATAGTTGATGCCCTTCTCCAAGGTCAAGATCACTCTTCAGTAGTTCAAGAAATCATGTCCAGGTAAACTGATTCTCAACCTTAACAATTGCCCAAGCAATAGGCAGCATTTTGTTGTTTCCATCTCTACAAACTGCCACTAACAACTGGCCTTTACACACACCTTTGAGAAAACACCCATCAAAACCAATCAACCTCCTAGCACCTCCAAAAAAAAAATGCTTTCTTTAAAGCATTGAAGCAAACATAAAATCCTTCAAAAAATTTCTACCCAGTTTCATCTTCTTCTCCAACCTTCACTACACAAGTACTACCTGGATTACTTCTTAAAATTTCATCTTTATAATAAAAAATCTTACCATACTTCACAATGTGATCACCCATGATCTCTTGTAACACTCTAGTCCTAGTTTTTCTCACTGTTGTCCTACCAACATTAATATCCAACTCCTTTCTAATAATGTCCTTCAACAACACAATGTTGATGTTTGGCTGTTGAGTTATTCTTTCTTTGTATTTGATGGCCAAAAACTTTGAGTTGCAAAGATAGTTATGAGTTGATGTCAAACATTTATGGACAGGGTTGTATGTCTTAACAATAACATCTCTACTAGTTTTACCCTTACTTGCACACAACAACCAAGGACAAGTCTCTTTACAACATCTCACTCTAACTCTGTCAGGCTCATTTACATATTTTTCAATTTGAATGTGTTTTTGGACTGCATATCTTGTCACTGCCACTCTAAATTCTTCAATAGTTCCAAAAACCAATCCTAATTTCCAAACAATCTTTTCAGAAGTTGCATCAAACACAACTCTATTTGGGGTTTCTTCCTCCTAACAGGTTTATGCACTACTTGATCAACCTCTTCACCATCTCCCCAACCTGTTTCATCATCTATTTCAAAGCTAGGAGCTTCATCACTTAAATAGTAAGGTTCATCACCTCCTAGCATACCAACTAAGCTTTCCCTAATACCAATATTTGTCTCATCATACCCTATATCTGGACCTTTTTCATCAACATTAATCTGATCTGAATTAGTACATCTACTTCTCCTTTGTGACCTTTTGAAATGCCTCTTGGATGCCCTTATATCTGTATACTCTTGATGGACATCACTATAAACCTCAGTATCTTCATTAGTATCCCCTTCAGATCCTAATTCATCTTCTACTTCATCATCAGTTGGATCATTATCTATTATAGGATCAGATGAAGGTACATAGGAAGGAGGAGGCACAGTAGAAGGAGAGGGTGGAGGCACAGTGGAAGGAGGAGGTACAATGGAAAAAGAAGGCACAGTAGAAGGAGATGGTTGAGGCACAGTAGTAGACTGGTTTTCAAATGGAGTGTTGGAAGTTTCAGAAAGACCAGTTGTAGGGATGGAAGGAAAAGTAGAAGTAGGAGGCTGATTATTAGGGTTAGAAGCCTCATTAAAAGATTCCTCACCTACCCAAACTATCACTCGCATTGAGGACAAACTCCAATTTAAGTGGGGCCTGATTGGCTTCACTAACCCCATGAAAGATATACACCTCCACTGTATCCCCATCATTTATCATATTGAAAAGGTCAAATATAACCTTATCATTATCAACAAGGACCAATAACCCATCCCACTTGATGAAAAAAATCACAATCTACTGTATATCTTAGTTCCTTTATGTAGTCCTTTAACTCAAAATAAGACATCCTATCAATATCTACATCTAGGAATTCTGTCACATTCCCCCCAATATATTTAGGTGGGGGACCAAATTCTATTACCCCCATGATACCATCTTAGAGTTATTAGAGTAAAAGTCATCTTGAAAAAGCATGTAACAAAGACAAACACAATTCAAACACACATTTCAAGAACATACTCTAACAAGTAACAGTAGCAGTAGCACTAACATTTAGCCCCATCACTAACAAAACAAAAGACTGTTTACAAATGTATAATGTACAAATTGAAGTCTACAAATGTATAAGCCCCAACACTAACATTTAGCCCTAACACTAATAGAACAAAAGCACTAACAGTAGCAGTCAATAATGAACAAATTGAAGTCTACAAATGTATAAGAGACATAATAAGATTCGAACTAAGTGAATAACATCAAACCCTAACCTAAAACACAATCACTAATAGTCGCACTAAGTCGATAACACAAAACCCTAATCACTAACAGTCGCACTAAGTCGATAACACAACACCCTAACCCTAACAATAACAACAAAAAACTATAATATCCTAACAATATCCTAACAATGGCAACTATAGGAGGTCGATTTCAACATACTTTTACAAGAAAATTTTAATAATCCCTAAAATCATAATAATCGAAAAAAGAGAACATCTTTATCATATGATGTAGAGCCCTAACCTGTTAGACCTTCAATCTCCAAGAATCTTCACCAAGACACATCAACAACGAGATTATCAACACCAACACGACGAGAAATCTTTTATATTTCTTCAGATTTTAGGGAAAGTTAAGAAATAAGAAAAGAAAAGGAGAGACAACTTTTCTTCAAAGAACAGAGTCGGGTCGGGTCTGATTGAATTCTATCACAGGGAGTGAGCAACACGCGCCACTACATAGACGAGGGAATGGGTCAAAATGGCCCATTTACAATGATATTAAATAGTTTTGTGGGGTGATAGGCACTTTGAAAGTTAAGGTGTCTTTATGCAAATATGGGACAACTTTGATTGTGTCTTTATGTCTTTACCTCTTTTTTTACTTGTATGGAGTAAAAAAGTTTAATATATGTCCACAAAAAAGAAATTTAACCAAGTATTAACTCAGCCCACGCTAATTGGCAATTACCCTTTATGTTCTATTTTTTACTTTCTTATTTTAGATTTTCACTGGTACACACAAGCAATCCAATCCGTAGGATTTCCTTTTGTTACCAATCTGTGTTTAAAACAGAATTACTAATTTCAACAAACTTTGCAGAAGTACGAAGTTACCAGAGTTTAATGAACCAGTAAGAATAGAAGAACATAAATTAATTCATAAAAACTAAAATCTGTAAAACATACTAGAATCTGTAAAAGACAAAACGAAAAAATATCAAGTCCACTGAATGGACAATGTCTCCTTAAGGAAATTATTCCCCTCTAATATTCGAGGTTTGATTTGAAATATGTCCTCCCAGGATAGAATGATCTCAATCACCAGTGTATTGATACCCAAAACGTTGGTGTCAGCGAGCCCCTCAACGACAATAGAGTACACGAAAAATATTTGTGCAGAAGAAAAAGAAGAAACCATAATTTTTCGTAAGTAAAAAATTCTGAAGAATAACTAGTATTTATAGCCAAGAGGAACTGATTCTGAAAGATTGCAACCTTTCAAAATCCACACGACTATTAATGAAAGTTTGC